AGACACTATTGTTAACTGTTTATATATATTAATTAAAAAATAATATAAAAAAATCGCTCTTCTTTATTTTCTGTCCGGTCATTGGCTTTGTAAACACTACCCTCTTCACATCTCAAATGGCAGAGTATTTAAAGCTTTCATAAAAAAGTTTTTTTACTAGCACGTAAATGGGGGCGTTAACGTAACTTTTGGTGCTGTCATAGTAAAACCACAGCCAGGAAATGTGAACTTTTTTATAGTAGTTAGCGACTACTGACTATAACTATTAAAAGGAATTATAAATTTTTTTTTATTGTTTTAGTAAATAAATCTTAGTAAACAATAACTTCTTGGGGACAGAATTTCTAAACTTGCCTGTCTTAATTAAAAGTAACTTTTGTGGCAGGTAAAAAAAAATCTATAAAATGGTTAAAGATTTGCTTGTCAAAGTAGTTATTTTTAATCTAAATTAGTTTTCATTTAACTAAATAGTAATGATTATTTATAACTTAGCTTTATTCATCTTAATGCAAGGGCATTATTTATAACTTAGCTTTATTCATCTTAATGCAAGGGCATTATCTAAATCTAACGGCATTGAAGTGTTTAAACTGCTTTCCTTATTATCTTTTATATTTTTTAAATAAACAAATTTATTGTTAAGTTATAGAGAACTTACATTACAAACTATTTTTAGATGCCAACTCTTTTTTTTTTTATTGTAAGATCCGTTAAATATAAGTTATCCTCCTTGCTTAAATACCTAATACTTTTTAAACTCCTATAAATCCCCCATTTTGGCCTTAGCAGTTTGTAACCATTCCTCCAAGTTATTTCCTTTATATAAAATTTTTTGTTTTGTTTCATGTTGGGAGGCAACCTTTTAGAAAAAGCATTATAGTAAAATAAATTCATTAAGGAAACATGATTACCTTCTGCCAGTTTTATCTAGAAGGTTAAATTTTATATAACCCTTAATTATATCGAGCATTACCTCTACGCAAGCTTGAAACCATTTTCCTTTTACATTAGACAATGGTGTAACTATTTTCTCTTTTCCATGATGAGTTAAAATTAAGTAGTCAACTATGTTTAGATATACAATTATTATATTGGCTCATTATGTTAATATAAAAGAGAGTGAATCTTCATTAGTTTTAGTTATGCTTAAAGTTTTATTTATTCTAAAAATTAAGTAGTCACTACAGCAATATAAACCTTAATACATCTAGGTCCAGCTAAACTGTTATTATTATTTAAAACGTTCGAGTGTAAATATTTGTTTGTTCGTTTTACGCTTAGCATTATTATAATATTTTATATTTATATAATTTAATAAAAATATAATTGCTTAAACCCCAGTTTGTAAATGCCAAAAAGAATTAAAAGGTAAACAGGATGTAGGAGTAGCGTAACTTACTGTCATGCTTCTTTTTTAAAGATAAAGTAAACATAGGCATTTTGTCATTATCACCGATGGCCTTGAGTTGAAATATATGATAGAAGTTTACGCTAGCCTTGTTTTTTTGCCCACTAATAACACTTAGGAAGTTAAAGTTTTATTTAAAGTCAAAAATGTTTAACCTTTAAACCACCATACATACATCATTGTATCTCCCTCAAACCCGAGTATTTTAGCATCGCTAGCTATTGAGGCTTTGACTTCAATTCTTTGTCTATCAGCGAGCCCTTCAAAGGCACTGTCACCATCATAATCCCGATGAATGGAAATTTTAAGAACATATTTTTTTAAGTAGTTATCGTAAACAGTTGTAAGATGCTTTAGAGGGTGTATTGCACTCTCTTCAACCAGCGTGTTGAAAGGTTTTTCTAATTTTAAGAGATTCCATTGTGGAGCTTAACTACCAATTTAAATACTTCAAGTACCATGAAAAATATTATAAGGGTCGGAGTTTTCGAAAAACTCAACTTTGACTTGTAAGTCGAATAAAGTTTTATCTATTACAAAACTATTGTTCACGTTTTTATCAAGAGATGTCGCATTATTTTTTCTATCTGCGTAGGTAAAAGTTAGCAAAGAGATATTAAATTGTTCATATTCACCTGATATATATTTTTCGTTATATTTTAAGTTAGATAGTCCGACGTATAAGCCCAGTAACAGGAACGTTAGAAATAGGGGAACATAAAACTTTTTAAGTGGTGATCTATTTGAGTAGTTACATTTATGTACTGTCACCAATATAGAAAATTAATATTTTCGGGACTATAAAGCTTGCCAAATAAATAAAAAAGGACTTACAATTTCATAGAGCTTTTATGTTATTTTGAAAAGACATTTTTGCTTAAAGTATGAAAATCTTTTTTGTTTTTTTCTTGTTTTTAAAAAAAGTGTTTTTTATTGTAAAAGTCCCTTGAAGTATCATTCAATACAATTTTTTTTTTTCAATAACTTTAAAAGAGATTCGCGGGATAGTAAAACATTGCTTACTAAGTTTCTTCGTTGGGCCACAAACTACCAGCTGGAGATTTTTTATTTTGCTTCCTTATTGGTAAAAATATACTTTTTTACAGTTATAAAAAAAACTTTAATGTACCAATTAAAATCGATAATCTATAGTGATAAGGTGAAATTATGGAGTTTGGGTATAACTACTACAGTTTATTTACCTTGTGCATTTTCTTAGCATATCTGATATTAGCAAGAAAGAAGTTACCATCAACTTAAGCTTTTCGCATGCCGTTCACTCAATATCACAAACTTAATTTATAACGAGCAATGTAATAAGTATCTTGAATTGGCATGGTGATAGCAGAATTGTTAAATTGGTATTATAAATAGCGGTCTTAGATATTTCGTGTTTCCTGAGTAAGCACCAATAAATAACGACTATAGTATATCTACTTTTAACAAAGGTTCATACAGTCAGGGGGTAAAAGTATGTTAAACTATTTTTAAGCTTACTTCCAATTACAGCAAAATCCAATTATCAGTTACAGCTTTGACCAAGCGATAAAAACTTTTGGCCTCCAACCAAATTACCAGTGTGTGTAGAAGAATTTATGTTAGAACGCGCTATTTCTAATACTTATATGCACAAGGAAATAACTTTTCAATACCTTTTTTTTAAAGTATAAAGAAAGTAAGTTTTCTGTTGCAGAATGTATTGCTTTAAAAAACTCTTAGTCACACTAAACGAAAGCACACTACATAGTTATTTTAGATCTGTATTCAAGCAATATTCTTCGTTATTATAATAAAACTAACTAAGCGCTAACACTTTCATAATTTTACTAATTTTATACAAAAACTGCCTCAAAATCGTGCCATTTTTAAGCAAGAATCCAAACAATTACTTAGCTACGGAAGAACACAGCGTTACGGATAATCAAACGAACAGTAAAATTTCGAATATGTTAAGAAATAAAATAATTTTGTTATCTCCCAACTAAAGAAATTATTTGCATAGCAACGGTTTTAAACTAGGAGCTTAGCTGTTCAAGGATGAATATGTTTTAACACAGCTCTGCGATACTATAAGCATGAAAGACTCATCTTTGTAAGACAGATCCGCTAACTCTCTAACCCGAGGGGGCTTTGTGAAAAACCCAAGAAGTAAACTTCTTAACTTATATGTTAACTTAGAGATTACTAATTCTCATAAAAAGTTTTTCGTAAATTACATCATCTACCCTTGCAGTTGCCTATTTACACAAAAGCCAATTTAAACTGATCCTCTGTTTTTTTTTTATAATAAAATGACATTCCTTTATTTAAATAGCTTTCACATTTGTTTTAAAATCATTAGTTGAATTTCCTTTAATTTTAAATTTAAATGTTATCTAAAATTAATTTGCACGCTGTTTCATTTTCTTCATTATAATAAGTTTTGTTTTCTTAAAAATAATAGGAAATTAGGGCTAGCAGCTTTTTCATGATTGTTCTTATATGTGAACTAATCGGGTCAAAAAACAATCTTATCATTGCAGGTAAGTAAAAAGGTCTAGATTAGTGTAAATACTTAAAAGAGTGAAAGGAGAAATAAAGATTAGTAAATTGAAAAGAAATAAAAAACTTATAGTGCTTTTCATTTTTTTTATCAATATTCCCTGCAATTGATTATTGTTTCGATATGTTCATATATATATATATATATATCACATAGTGTACTCTCTTTTAACAATTACCATCTTCCTTTTATTAAAACCGAATTATAGAATCATATTTGAGCGTAAATTATTGCACCTATAATAAAACAATAGACAAATTTTATTTATTTAATAAAATTACATTTTGTTATTAAAGGCATGTATAAAAAAGATAACTTTATTTTAAAAAATCTATGTTTTATACTTTCTAAGCAAACATTATTCCAAGTTTTAGTATTTTTAAAGTTGGAAGAAACTGAAATTCGTGTAACCTCAAAAAAGATTAGTGTAGAATCCTGTATGTTTACTTAATTCATTGTTAGTGTACTAGTAAAAAAAAAACAGGAAGTTTACAGAATATATAACAATGTATCTTCTATTCATACCAAAGTCTTATATATCAGCGAGAATGTACTATCACTAGTTAACAAAAAAACGTTGGTGGCCTCCTCTACTAGCAAATGCTCCGCTGAAGGGAGCGTGACAAAAAATCTATTTATTAATAGATTTTTACTATTCAGTTATTGACGGCTCTAATACTATCTTATTTTTTATTTTTCTTTTTATTAAAAACTGTATAAAAATAATTATAAAGATTAATATTTTTAAAAATTTTTGTAACTTGTACTTTAAGTATGTCAATCTTGTCAAGTTTAGGCCTACAATCCTATATAACTACAGATGATACATCTTTATCAACTTTTAAAAATAAACACTCGGTTAAAGTTTCTTCTTTTGAAGAAGATACCGATAATTCTGAAGGTGCTTTGTATATTACTGTGTTTTTTTATCTTTTTTTTTTTAAAGTTATATAACTTTTATTAAACGCTTACACAGTTTCGATTTACTTAATTTAAATTGTTTGTACTTACTAACTATATTTATTTAAAGATTTTTCATTCCAACCTTCACGCATTCTTGAAAACTTAGAACTTCCTCCTGAAAATGAATCAACTCTTTGTGAGCTTTCTTATGCTTTAATTTCTGTGCCGATTGAAAAACGTAACAACATTTCGTTTACTTTAAAAACTCTTCAGATATATTCTTTATATTTACTTTTACAAGATTTTTTTTATTTGCAAAGTAAATTTTTTTATATCAATTTTTTATTTTAGAAGAGTATCTTGTACGGGTTTCTCGCTTATAATAAATAGTTCTCATTTCTAAAAAGATTCATAAAATAATTAATTAATTTAATTAATATAAATATTTATAGATACATATAGAATAATAATAAAATACAATTAACTTCAAAATATATTATACGTCCTGTCAGCACATTTTAGATCTTAAAATATTGAGATGAAGTGTAACCCAATTTTTTTAAAATGATTTTTTTAAAAATTTTAAAGAGATTTAATAATCTATAATATTAGTTTATTTTTTTTAAATCCTTGTTAAATTATTTAAAAGATTTTAAACGAAATTTAGATAATTTTAAATATTCCTTGCAACCATTTCTAATAGAATTTTCTTATCCTTTATAATAAAAATTAATTTAAAATTTATGGTTACTAGTATTTAAAATCTTAAAAGTTATGAGTCTACTGTTATTTGTAAAAATTGTTTTTATTTAGGACTTTTGATTCTTTTTTGTTAATGTATTTTTTTTTAATTTGCTTAATTTAAATTTTCATTAAAACCTTTAAACTGTATATTGTAAGCACCTAAGATTTATTATTAACTTTTTTGTTATAAAATTATATTTTAATTTTTTCAGATTATTTATTTTGCAAAAGATAAAATAATTACTAAATTTTTAATTTAGATTTGGGTAAAAGTATTTAAAAATTTTTTATATTTTAGAGTATTTTTCTGATTTACATTAGTAATTTATTTTTTATTAATTTTTATAATCTTTTTTACTCTAATATAAGCTTAATATAAAAATAAACTAAATAAAAAATATACTTGTATTTGAATATAATTTAGAGTGGAATCTGAAGCACAAAGATCTTTGGTGGAAATATAGGGAGCATTTTGTATATTTTTATATATTTATTTCTGCTTCATAAGTTTATATTAGTTTTTCATTACTTTTTGTACTTTATTGAGTGATTTCTGTATACGCTGACTTTTATTTATTATTATATTTTTTTAATTACCATTAAAAATCTCTTATTTTTTTTTAGATTTATATTTCTATTTATTATTTAGAATCTAATTTTCAAACTTTTTATATCAACTTTACTCAAATTTTTCTAATTTGTTTCTTATTTTACTTAATATTGTATAGTTTATAAACTTATTTTATCCTTTACCTTTTACTATTTTTTTAAAAAAAATTTAATACCTTTATATACCTTTATTAATTGAATTTTTTATTTCAGGGAAATAAATTTCTTCCCCTCGACATTCCAAAAATTTCCGAGTCGTTATTTGATTCTTCGGTTAAAGAAGTTGATCACAAAGATTTTAAAAAAGCCTCAACTTTTTCTAACAATATTGTTAAATATTTGGAAAGTTATTAATATTATTGTTATTTATTATAAAATTTTTTCTGGTTTGCAAGTCCAATTTGAATCTAATTGCTATACGAAAAGTCTCATAAAATTTATTATTATAAACTTTTTCAACTAATTGTTTAACTTTCTATCGCGTTATTGGCTAATTTTTTTAAATAGGCCCTTATTTTTCCCGCTATTTCTAGTATAATAATTTTTTTTCCTCTTGAATACTAAAGAAAGCATACTCTTTCTGAAAAACTGAAAAATTTGTTTTAGTAAAAATAATTATACTAATATTAATAACACAATAATTATAATAATAATAACAGAAAAAATAATGAACTTTTTCACTTTTGCTATGCTTAAACGTTTAACCAATAAAGAGAAGAAAAAAGTCAGTAGTCATATTTTAGTGGATCAATTTCCAGCGAGCTATAAAAGTTACATAATTTTTTTCGTGCATCTAACAGACTTCCATTGTCGCCAGTATATTGAAACCCGGAAACCCTTCCCAGCCAACGTGGCATTCGACATTTTCAGTCACGTGTATGGCCTGGCATAGCCATGTGAACCTTCTTGCTGTGTCCCTCGTTTTTTCCAGTGGAAAAAGTTATTAGTACTGCTGTCATTCTTTTAATATATGTTATTATATAAATTTACTATTTTTACTTTTTATTATTGTTTATTTTATTTATTTTAAGGTGTTATACTTCTTCATAGTCTCGATGAGTGCTCGACTTGTAAATTTACTGATCCCCCTTTGACCCATCCCAAGCAGGTATTATAGTTTTTAGGTTATTTGTAAACTTTTTATATTTATTATTTGTTTTAAGTTTCTTATTATTAAAAATTTATATTTTTATATAAATTTATTTATAATGTTTACTAATGAATTTTTATAAGTCTTTAGTTATTAATAAACTTTTTATAGTTTTATTTTTAACAAAAATATAGTTATTTAGTAATATTTAGTTTTTTTATAAAATTTATACTTATTATTGTTATGTAAAATACTTATTGATATATAAAATATATATTAGTAACTTACTAATAAAGTATAATGAGTTATAGTTTTTCATAAACTTTTATGCTTTTTATTGTAAGTTTTATGTAATCTAATAGTTCTTCTTACTATTAAAAAAGTTTTTTTTATAAATATACAAAAAATTATTATTATTAGTATAAATATAAGAAATTTATAAGTTTTCATATATAATGCAATTTTTTTTGACGTTCGGCACTTATTTTTTGCTACTAATATATTCATAACGGAAAATTTGCAAATTTGCTACAAAATAAATATCCTGGTAGATTTTAGTATAAATATGCTGTATAAATTGCCACTTTTACCTCAAATTATGCACTCATTATTTTTGTAGCCTTAAATTTTTTGTTAACTTTTGATTATTTGCTTTTAGTTTGTTTAGATTAAAATTTTAATTTATTTAAACACTATTCATTGTTATATTTATTACTAAAGCTCTTTGCTTAACTTTTAATGAGTTTCCTTAAACTGTTCAGTTTTTTCAAATTTTTGTACCGGATGTATTATGGGATCTGATGTGATTTGTTAATGCGCCTCCCCGCGGCGCCACATAATTAAACATTATATCTATACAGCTTCGAGTCACGTGCCTTCAATGGAAACCTTTAAGTGGCCGCGTGCTTGCTGTCGGCTGCCAGGATTGTATCATTATATGGGAAATGCCTTCTTTATTAGAAAAAAGTGGGTTTATTATTTTATTAAGTTTTATTAGGAAAATACATATTAAGCTTTTTTATTGTATCATATTATTAATTATTGATACTTTTTAGTAGTTTGCGTCAGTTGCACTAATTATTTTCCAATTACTGCTTTACTGAATGGCTAGTGATTGGCGTAGTTTATTTATTTTTGGTATTATTTAATTAATTGAACCGCATTTCAATTAATTGTAATGTTTTTAATAATGTTTATACCATTTAATCAACCAATGGAAAACCTTTTAAAACATGCTTATGTAAGTATTTTATTATTTATGCCTTTTTCTGGATTAGATTGGAAATCACGGAAACTCATTGGTTGCGGAAAGCAATATCCCGTTACTTCATTGGGTTTGATTTTCTAATTTCTTTTTATTCGTTTATTTAGGCACTTATGATATCGTTAGAGTTCTGCCCCCGAGGGCGCCTTCTTGCTGCTGGTTCGCTTTATGATTCGTCCATTACCATATGGAATATGGCGACTGAGCGTCCTGCACCAATCAAAAGGATTGGCGGAGGAGTACTTTTTATTTCAACATTTTGGCATACCAAAAAAAATAGTGAAATGGCTTTTAACTATAAACGATTAAATTTATTTATAATTTTAATTTTTTTTTTTTAATAGATAACATGTCTTTCTTGGTCTTCAGACGGCACTCGCCTTTTTTCTGGTAATTTATTTATAAATATTTCGGCTAAACAACTTTTGATTATTATATATTATATCTTTTTCAGGCTATAAAAGCAATACTTTTAGAATTTGGGATACAAAAAGTTGGAAGTATGTTAGAGAGTCTTGTGATACTTTTGTGAAGGTTTATTACTATTTTTTATTATTCAAACAACTTTTACAAAAGTTAATTAGTGGTTTCTGTTATAATAGAGATGCGTTTGGTCTTCGAATGGATCGCTTTTATTATATATACAAAAGGACCTGAATTACTTGTATATGTACGACATTGATCAAAGCCTTCACGGAATACTATTAGACCTGAGGCTTATTATTATTATTAATACAACTATTATTTTTAACTATTATAAGTTTATTAATATTAGGTTTACTTATACACTCAAAAGTTATTGTTTTTCTTTTTTATTAATCGTAACAACAATAGTTGTGACATTGGGACTATTGAGGATATTGCATGGGACCCTCGAAACGAGCGATTGGCTGTTTCTGTGGAAGTCACGTGCGCCGACGTCTATGATGATTCTCAAGATGAAACAAATTTGCCGACCAATGAAAACGAGATAAAGTTCGACTTTAGTCGTTTGGAAGGGGAAGAAAGACGGTATCTTATTGGCTTACTACATACAAGACTTCCTTATAAGGATGCGATGGATAGAGCTCTTCAAATCAGTTCATTGTATTACTGTTACTTTGATTTACTTAAATATTTATTACTAGTAATATAATAATATTATTATTAGAGGATGGATAAGGGGTCCTGCGCTTTGTCCTCAAGCAGGACTTCTCAAGCCAACTCACTTACACTTTTTAAAAACTTGGCAAAAGGGGGCAGTTTTATCTGTGGTAATAATAATAATAATAATAAGAATAATAATAATAATAAATATAATAACCATGTTGAAGCTACTAATCTACCATTGTTATTAGTGCTGGCAATCGAAAACTGAGATGAAGATTTCGTTTGTCCCGATGATGTTTAGCTGATTTTTAAATATGAAATAAGTAATAAGAATAAAAGTTTTATTTTATTTTTTCTAAAATTTTATTGCTGAGACAAACGAAATAATTATAAATTACTTTCTCGTATATAACAATTTAACTAAAAAGGAAAAGCAAATGTATGATTATTATCTATATAATAGATGGCAAGACGGACGTAGTAATATGTTATTTAAATAGCAGTTGTTCTTCTAAGTAAATTATTCAGCATCTCTTGCAGAAATTACGTTCAAATTTCTGTGCGTTGGGGCTATTGATTTTCCACCCCGCCAAAAAATGGAGGCCCATCTTAAGGGAAAAGGAATGTTTAAAAAATCATATCTAAAAAATTAAGCAGATTGCAATGTTGCAATTGTAAATTAGAGGGCTACAAACAGCACTAAAACGCTGTAGTTAATCTATAAAAGATATTTCAGCGGCGGATCATATACAAAATAAACAAAAGATTTTCCTCTTAGTCTTTTGTTTGCTTAACATTTTAATATAAACTTAATTGAAACTAACAAGTAGAAACTTAGAAGTATTTCTATCAGGACAGATCCTTATTATAGGAAATCGAGTCCTAACACAAACCCCTTTCCATTAACAATAATATTATTATCTTTTACTTCATATATTTATCGTTATATATTTACTGGATAACCCTATCCCAACAATAAAAATAAAGCTCTCAAACTATTAAACTCCCATTACTCTAAAAGTAAACGCACACTTTAACTGGGGAAGGAAAGGTTTGTAGTATTCTTACAAAAATTTTTAAATTAGGACTAATCATATTAAAATTTTATGCCCCCGTCTTATATATGCAAAACAACTAAATTTTATGTTTACGTTTTTTTTTACCAGCAAGGGTTATATTTTTGCTTTTATTCAGTTATTTTTTAAGTTACTTAAAATTTTTTTATTGTATTTAAATGTTTTTTATAATAGAATTAAAAAATACTTCTTTTCTCTTTTAAAACTAAATTTATTTTGTGGAAATTTTAAGTAGTTAATAAGAAATTATTAAGTTAGGTATAAGTAAAATATAAGTTTTTGCTAGGCGTTGTTTATGTAGGCCTAGTTTTCAAATTCGTTAAATAATAAATAAGCTTAATAAAATTTTTATTTATAACTTCAAGTTTACTCAAGAAATTTTATAACTTTATATTAAAAATGAACGTAGACGTACTTAAGATTTTTAAAATTACAAATAAGTCTGAATTTTTACTTTCTTCTGATAAAATCTTAATGCTAGTGACCTTCATTAGTAGATATTTAAAAGCTTATATTATTTCAAAAAGGAAGGCAACCAATTTAGTTTTGTTACTCAACACTTTTGCAACATAATATAAAAAAAGGTCTTAGGATTAGTAAGAATTAAGATGTAGCTGTAAGTATTTCGAAAGGTGGAGTTAAAATTTAAAGTAAAAAACCTAAAAGCTTGTTATTTTTAAACAAATAAGAAGTTCGCCTAATGATTATTTTCGCTATTTGGTATGGACCTGTTCTGAGCCAAAATAACTTGGGTGATTGTGGACAGCAAACTGGTAAAGAACGTAACTTATAATATTCATATTATCTAAAGCGGTGAAGTGAAAGCAGCACTATATATGTGTTTTATTTGAAAGAGCAAATTTTTAATTTAAAACGTGGGGTTTTTGAACCAAGGCTTCACACTTTTCCTTTAAACTCAGTAAGCAAATACAAAGCAAAGAAATAAATTGAGCTGTTGCTAATGTTCGCTCGTGCCTAGGGGTATATTACTAATGTTCAGCTTTAACAGAAATTCAATCGAATCTAGAAAGGAATAGACCCAAGCGTTGTCTTTAAATGCCTTGAACAAGATGGTAGCAAACTAAGTACATGGTTACCTCTTATATTATATAATTGAAAAAAAAGAGACTTTAAACGCTTTGCATAACTTAGTTGTGCTTTTGAAATTAATAGCAAATTATGAAATATATGGGTATGACTAATAATGTAGAGGAACACAGTTTGTATGTTTCTGCGTTTATTGCTTAAAAGATTAACAACAAAGGTTAACTGGAATATTGTAGTCACTGGAAATAATGTAATGGGTTATTATAAATCCTCTAGACTCCGCATCTCTTTTAACTATTTAAAAATAAATAGCAGTAGACTGTATAGCTATAGTATGTTGTGTGTATGAAAATTTTTAAGGGGATTTGAATAAAAATATCTTAACTGAATTAAATGAAGTAGAATTTAGTAAAAAAAAGATTGTAAAATAAGTAAAAAGACAGAAACATATCCTGGTACAACGATTAACAGTGAAGCTGGGCACATTAGGAATGTAAAAGTATTAAAGTGCAGCTCCTTCTAAGGCATTTAATGAAAATTCGTTTAGCTGAAGAGCGGGCTGTAAAGGCTATTAATAAAAAAAATTAATCGAGCAACTTAATATGACTGAAAATAGTATAACTTTAATTAAAGTTAAATATTTTCAACTTTTGAGTTTAAACAGGATAATTATTATGTATTATAGAAAGTTTTGAGTTTAAGCAGTGAAAATATAACCAGTCAGGCACGTATAGTGTAGAACAACGCCAACTTAATAGTTTAACTTATATTTTAATTTTTTTAATTTTTTTTTAATATACAGGAGGAACTTCAGCTTTACCAATTACTAATTAATTTAAAATAGCCAAGTAAAGCACCTCAGCCTTGGTAACCCTCCTATATCACATTTTTGGTTTAAGCTCTACAACTTATTTATAACGCATTTTTTAACCTAAAAAAGTTTTTTTGTACTAACTTTAAGTTTAATTTTAGTAAAAAAGTACGATGTTTTCTTAGAATTTAAAAAAAACTTTTTAAAAATTATTTAAATAAATTGTTTTTTTCATAAAAAAAAATATTCATTAAATTAATTAAGTTGCTAAAGGAGATCACAGAAAATAAGATATAAAAATGCTCCAAATTAACAGTCCCTTTAAATAGAATAAGTGACACTTGCAATTATGGGGAAGAAATAACTACGAAGAACTTTTAAAAAAGAATGAATTAATTATATTGGTACTATTTATTAAGTTAAAACCCTGCGAGGCCTCTTCTTACTTTTTACAAAAGTTATGTTAGGGCTTAAATTTTATTATAAGGTTGTATAAAAAAATGTGTTAACTTGAGAAAATAAATATGAATATAAAAACATAAAATACTATTTAAAAGTAAATACATACTATTATTATCCCTATCTTATTCGCTTCATCAACAAGCATATCTAAGCTTACAGCCGTCTCCTATAAATACAATAGCAAACAACTAAACATTTTATTAGCTATCTTCTTGATTAACCTATGTCAATGTGTTCTGACTTTACCTATGTCACTACTATGTGTTTTGAATTTGCCAAGTGTCGATTTTACAATAATAATGTATCCGAGAACTATTTATTGTAGATGAAATGTATGATATAAGTATATCGTAGTTACAAAAGAAATTTGTAATAATTTATTTGATAATTTTCAAGATGCCTGAGGAGCACAACCCACACACCTAAAATAAGCAATCAAAAATGGAAAGAAAAAATGCATGTCACAACTTTTATAACACACCAATTAGTGGTGTTCCCTTATTCGCTCAACCCTCACGTTACATACATACACAAGGCAAGCGTCCATATCGCCAAAAACCATGAACGAAGGTTTTCTTTTTCTCTCTTGTTCCTTATAACTTTTATCGAAAGAGAATATGCTGGAGATATAGGAATTATTTACTTCTTGGAAAATTTATATTTACGATTCAAATTAACTAATAGAATTAGAAACGGTAATAAAATATTAGAAAAGTAACTAGCATGTTTTGGCTTAGAGTTGCCAAGTTGATAATAACCCTATTTTTATAGAATAATTTAGTCTCTTGAAATTTATTACTAAATATATTAGAATATGAAAGCTACGATAAAGATGTCACTATGAAGATCGCCGCTTATATATATGTACTAGTAGCTAGCGCTCTTCAGACATTATCCTTACTCGTTGCACCGATCAAGGCGCTCCGTATAGCATAGTATCAGTACTAATATCACTTTACAGTTACATTAGTAGTACTGGAAACGAACAAGAATGCTAACTTGCGTCATCATTATGGTTCTTACTGCGCCTCTACTCGGATGACAGTAGTGCCCCGGTTCGGGTGGTTTCAGAGAGTACTATTAGCTAGTGTCATATATAACCGCCAGCCCCTTTTACGGAAACATTTTCGTCAAAGGTAAAATATTTTGTAAGAGGAATGCAAAACAATTTTTTTAAACAGTACGAATTTATTATTCTTAAAATATATATCAGAAATAGTTATGCTCACTACATAATTCACTTTTAGAAACTACTCTCTTTAGTGCACTCAGCCTTTACTTTTCTTGTTAATATTGCGTTAATAATAGACCTATACAGTTTCGTTAATGATGGACTTAAACACCAACGCAACTACTTTAGCGTTAGTAGAAAAACTTGCAGAAGTAGAATATCTCGGTGAGAGTATACTCACAAAAAAGCAAATGGTATTTTATAAGACTTTTTCTTATTGTAAGTATTAAACTAAAACTGCACTTCTGCAAGCTTATAGATTACGACAGGCGACGTCATAGCAATAGAGAGATGCTCGGCGTGATCAGAAGAAATGAAGTTAAAGAAGGTGTGAAGATTTACTAATACTTTTAATAATATTGTTAAAAGCAACTTATTTAGCTTATTATATGCGTTCTTACTAATACTAGTTTTATTAAAAATAGTATTTATTGTCAATTAAGCCACTGATTATTTATTTATTTATTTTTTTTGCTTTAAGTGGTTTTTACGTTTACCTTTATTGAAGTTCTGTATATTTTGAATATTAAATTTCGCTAAATTTTTCTTTATAAATTCTTTACGCCTTCACTATGAAAAACCTTTCAAAGTTTAATTTTATAAGGTACTACGATTTATGAAAACCGGCTGTGAATTAATATTTACAAAAACTTTATCGTATATTATTTAATTAAAGAAAAGGTTTGGCTTTGCACGGCTGATTGCTTTATAAAAGCTCCCATTCCGGTTGTTAAAGATTTAATTCTAAAAGGTTCTAAATTTAAATAATGTTTAATTTATATTTTAGATTTTATTATTATTTTTTTATTTTATTAAAATTAACTTTATTACTTTATAATGTATTTTTATGTCATTGAGTTGTTTAAAAACTTTTACAGTTTATTTAATATTTGGATTCTTAATTTATTTTTGCTCTTTATTTTTTCATTAAGTAATTATTTTTAATATTATATTATATAGATCTTTTTTAATTTTTCAAGACCATCTTAATTTCAAATTTAAACTTTCGTCACTACTTTATACAGTTTATAAATTTTCTAATTTTATTGTCTTTTTAAATTTACTTGAAGCGCAAATTTAATTTTTTTTTTTATTGTAATTATAATAAATTTAAATAGTTCTAAACCATTAAAACTTAGAACAAGAATTTATAAGTAAAGAGATTGAAGAAGCTAGAAAAGAGATGAAAACATTAAATGCGAAAATTAACAGCTTAGAGGGTAAATTTTTTCTTTCTTTTCTTTGTAAATTCATATATTTTAAGATTTAATTATTTTTTTTGTTGTTTATTTTTTTATTTTTCTTATTCTTTATAGTAAATTTCCAACAAAAATTGAGTAATAATATATTTATTAGATTGTTTTTTTTGTACAAAAAATTAATTAATAATCTCCTTTTTAGCATTTAATATATATCTTAATTATATTATAATTTTTTTTTAAAAAAATGATTTTTTTATAAAATTTTTTTTATAACAAGCTCTATTATAAAAGTTTAAACGTGAGAAATCTTTATGAGCTTTATTTTTGTTTAGTTTTTAAATCATGCTCAAATTAGATTTTCAAATTTTTTAGTATTCATTAGATCTTGCAAAATTAAATATTTTTTATACAATCATATTATCAAGTAGAAATTTATAAAAAAACTGGAAGTTGAAAATAATTTTTTTTACAAAAACGTAAGTTATTTTTGACGACTAGTAAATATTTTTATGGAGTCGTAAACAAAAATTTAAGTATGAGTTTTAATTTCTTATAATCCTTTTTTATATTAAATTCGTTCAGTGTCAATTTTGTTAACTTAATTTTTTTGAAGCTATTTATTTTTAATTATATGTAAATTTAATAAAACAAACTTTACTTTTTATAATTATATTATAATTTTTGTTGGAATTTTTTTTTCTATCTTAATAATTTATTTATTGCTTTATTTAAAGTGTTGAACTGTTTTTAAAATGTCAAAGAAAATTTTTTAGTCTTGAAAATTAATTTACTTTAACTTTTTGAATTTAAGAAAATTTATTAATTTTATTTGCTTAATAAAATATATTTTATTAATTTTACGTTTATTTAAATTTTTAGTCTTTTTTTAGATTTATTTTAATTATTTTTATCTAAAAGTTTATAAATAATTAAACTTTGAAATATCAATAAAATTAAATAATTTTAAACTTTTTTATATTTTTTTAAGCTGGGAAGTTTATAACAATTTTAAAATTAATTAAATTTATTTTTTATTATTATTAAAGCTAAAAAGCTACTCAAAAATTAAATTAAATTTAAAAATAATAATAAATTAAATTTTATTTTTTTCTATTAAAAATTATTTTCTGAAAAAAAAATAGTTTTTAAAATATATTATATCATACTTTATATTTTTACTTTAAAATATTTAATTTCTATTCATTTTTTTTTTATAAATTATTTTTTAGTACACCTTTAATTTAAATAAAAATATTTTTAACTGTGTACAAATAGTACACAAAAAGCTCAAAAAAATATTGACTTTCTAACAAAATTTAAAAATATACTAGAATCTAAACTTTTTTCTACTACTCCGAATTTCTTTTTAAGTTAATTTGTAAAATATTTTTAAATTCATAATCATAAAAGTTTAAGTTTACGCTTAAAAAAGTTTAATGAATTAATTTTTTATATCAAATTTACTAATAATCTGAATTTACTGATTTATGAGATTTTTTTAATTTTGAAAAATTTTTGTAATTTCTTACTTTATAAAATTTTATTTTCCAAAAAAAAATTAAAAACTAAAATATGTTAAATATAATTTTTAATTGCTGAAGTTTAACTGTTTATAGAAGATTTTAAATATTGCCTTAAAAACAATATTATACATAATTTTTTTGATAATAAGATTTTATAATTAATTGCGATTTCCGTTTAAATAAATAAATTTGTGGACTTTAATTTTAATTTCTTTTTGGTGGTTTATATTATAAATAAATAATTTTTAATATATAATTTTTAAGTTTGAGAATAGTTAAATTTATAGAAAACTTTGCTTTTCATTTTAAAAAATTAGTTAATTAAAATTTTATAATAATAATAAGTTAAATAAATTCAGCTAATCTTATAATAAAAAGTAATTTAACTGATTAGCTGTTAACTTTTTTTTCTTAATTAATAATTTATTACTTTTCTTTGAACAAAAGTTATATTTAGCGTATCGCTTTAAAAGTAATATAAAAAACGATCTCCAAAATTTTATAAAAATATAATTTTTATAAAACTCGCTAAAATTTTTAATTAAATTAAGTTAATTTACTTTTTTTCCTTTAAATTGATTATGCTTTACAAATTTATATTTTTTATGAAATATATTTTTTAATGTGCGTTTTTTTTTTATTAAAATTTAGGAGAGCGCGACATTTTCGAAGGGTTCAACCTTACTCCTCTTTCCTCTGCGGAGTTTATATAACGAAGAGAAAATAAAATAATTATTCGTAAATCCCAGTCGTAATTCTTCTATGGCTTTCTTTAAAACCATCTAGATGTCAATATAAAGAAGTACAAACATTCCTTGAATTAGTAGAAGTATGAAAAGTATCAATTATAGAATTAAATGGAGAGTTAGTCATTAGAATGACTCAAATCTTTTATAATTAGTTAAAGTTAATCCAAACTGAAAAACAAAAAGTTTATTATTTTTATAAAGTTTTCACGGAGAAAAAACTTACAAGTTCAACTCTAAATTCTTATAAACTATAATATATTTATTCTTATCATCATTTTGTTCGTCTTCACTACAGTATATTATAAAGCTTTTTTTTAACTTATCCTATAATAAAAAGATTTAACTGGAAGTGACCTTCTTTATAAAGTATATAGAGTTTTATTCTCAATAATGTTATTATTCATCATAGTAGTTTATAGAGCTTTCTGATATCAGGAGTTATCCTATAATAAAAAGAATTAACTTGGAGAGAAATTTTTTTTTAATATATGTTTTATTCACAAGTATAAAGGCCATCTTCACTAGTGTATATTATAAAGCTATTTTTATTTAGAGTTATTCTAATATAAAAGATTTAACAAGCATAAGTATACTTCTTGACGGGAAGCCTTAAGGAAGTTTACATATATTTGTTTATAGCTTTTTTTACACGTCAACAAGCTCTTCACAGTGCGAGTAAGAGAAATTCTATTGTTACTTTTCTCTTGTTTATAAAATAATCCATCTATAGGCTCTATAGTTTTACTCAATAAATTACGCCAACATTGACGGTATGAAAGTCGCTATGGATTTTTTTTTACGTTATGTAGAACCTTTATTTATTAAACAGGATTTTTTTAAAAATTTAAATAGTTTGTAACTGTTTAGAAATCATTATTTAGCTTTTCAGTGGGTCCCGACGCTGAAGATGGCAAGCATCTTATAATTCTTAACGTTAAGTATACTTATTTTTAAGATTAGACGATAAACCGGCTTGCTTAATTTTAAAGTAGTTTAATTGCAACTAAGCATTGTTTAATTATTTATAAATTAAACAATCTCATAGCAGATCCTTTAGGGTTATTCTATAATAAATCTTTATTAAACGAATCAAAATAAATCTTAATTGAAGGGTATAATTCAAAATTATTCAAAGTGTTAAGTATCTATTGAGCCTAAAAAAAAAAATAATAATTTTTTCAAAGGGGGAGTTATAAATTAAATATGGCTTAGAGATGGCGTTTTTATTGTAATAATAAATAGTTACTTTTTTTTTAACAATTAAAATTTTAACTCCACTCATAAAATAGTTTTTTAAGAAATGGCTATATTTTATTTACAAATTTCAAATATTTTGTTACATACTCTTGAAAGGTTTAGTGCAACATACATCATTAAATTTCGTTAACAAAAAAAATTCAACGATTTTAACCTTAATACGGAATAATTAAGAGAAATTTATTTTATCAAAGTTTTTAAATAATACAGATATGGTCAATTAACGGTCAATCAACAGTCGTTTTCTTTTTAGGTACTATAAGAAAAAATAATAGCGCTTAAAGAAACAGTAACTTTAACAACTAAATAAATAGATTAAGTTATTAATTTTACAATCGTGGAGTATAACGATACAATTGAAAACGAAGCATGGTACACTGAACCATGTTTTTATATTTTTATCTCAAAAAATATATCAATATAAACCGCAACTCTCGAGCATCAAGATATAGTTAATCATTTTAGTAATAATATTTTTATATGAAAATACTAATATACAAAAGTAAAGAGCAATTGACAAAATAAGTTATGCAAATTCAATCAAGAAAACGTAAATTTTAGTTTACTTAAAATCAATCAAGAAAATTAGCCAATGAACAAACATTAAAAAATAATTCCTACGACGCCTACCCAATAATTTAGTCACCTTATTCAAACTATGCATAAAAAGTGTTAATGTAATACAAATATGGAAATTTTTTAAATATTTTGTATTGTACCCATAGAAATCGCAAAAGAGAAGCTCGTTAAAAGCAGAATACTATTGATTGAATAATTTTGTGTTAAATATTAATATAAGCCCAGCCCATTCCATCCCGTCCTCTGAGTAAATTCGTAGAGAAGTATGGCTAATTTGCAACTTCTTTTTATAATAATTTTATTAAAGGGTCCTTACTATGAACTAAATGGAAAATAATTTGAATCATGCTTTATATATATTTTTTATTTTCGTTAGCCAACTTTGTTTCTTTAGGTATAACAATTGTTACTAATAATATTATATAATATTTTATCAATCTTTTAATTCTGTTAACTATAATAAGGATTAATAAAAATAACTTAATATTAAAGTTTATAGATGCTCTTTAAAATTTAGTTGTGATTAAAAAAAAAGGTTTAATATATTCATATATATACATGTAATTAGTTTTCTTTGATAGTGTTTATATAACTTCCTATGATTACAAAATTTGGTTTGTGAAAGCCTTCACTTTGTTTTCCTTTATTTCTTTAAGTTTTTATGTATGCAATAATACTTCATCCCAAGTGGCTGCATATTTTATATCTACCAGAAGAGTCTTCTTTAAATAAAAGAATAAGTTTCTTAAACTCTTTTTATTAATAATTACTTAAAACTTTATTAGTCAATTTTATATAGTAAAAACTGGTGACTGGCTTACTGTAAATTTAATCTTATTAAGATTTTCTAATTAGTGATCCTTAAAGGAGAAATTAAAATCTTAGTAATACCTAAATTTACAGAAGAAACTTCTTTTTTGAAAAAATTAAGTTTCTTTATTTGAGTTAACTTTTTGTTATTAATAACTACCTAAATTTTTATTAGGTTTACATAGATATTTATTATTAAAATAGTGTTATAGCCAATTTTCTATATCAGAAACTGGTAGCTGTGGGTACTAGAAATTTAAAAATTATTTATGTTTTTAAATGGTTGTTATTACTACAGAAATTTTACTGTTTATATTTATTCTGCTATTAATATTTCCTGGAATTTACATAAAATTTATCTTTTTTCAATGATTATTAATTAAATTTATACCCAACATATCCTGTATGTCCTACTTTCTCGCAATAGACCTTTTCTTAATATCTTATAAACTTTTATAGCGAATTAAAAAAAATAGATTTGTAAGATAAGGATTTAAAAGTTCATTTCCTTATCTGACTTTTTTTTAATATTATTTATTTTCCAAGTTTTTTTCAATTACTTTTAAAAGCTTTATTTGGTGCTCGACATCCAAATCGTTGAGGACAAGAGAATTCACGTTTGCAATAACTTTTGCTATTGTTGAAAAAAACGAGCCTTTTTTAATGTTATTAAATTAGCCAATAAGAAGGCAAACAAATAACCAGTAGAGTAGCAAAAAAAAATCGAACAGTTGACAATAATTTAATGAATAGTTCTAGTTAAAACAGTTTGTATTGTTTATACGTTTTAAATTTTTTATTATAAAGTTAACAACTTCATTTACTTTTTAAATACTTTTATTAAAAATTTACTTAAATTTTATAAAAACTCGTTGTTTTAGAGTATTCATATAAATAGTAAAAAACTGTTTCAATCTTTAATCTATTTTTAAAAAAGTTTATATAAATTGCAAATTTATACAATTCTAGAAGAATTTTGCAAATGCTGAAGCTAATTACTACTTAAAATGATAGTTTGATTTCTTAATTATTTAATTTATTTTTAACGGGAATCTTGTAAATTAATATTAATAGTCGTGGAATGTTTAGTATTTTATAATTTTTATTAATATAAATCTTTCGTTGTTAGCAACTACGACATCGAAATGATTAGTGAGGTTTCAGGATTCTCGCTAACATTTTTAAGTCACTATTATGTTGTCCAATATTCACTTTTATTATTACTAATAATTCCCTTCAAAGTTATTTTTATTTTTAAAATAATTTTACTATTAGATGTATTAATAATACTTATATATATACTTATTCCTATATAAATAATAATTTTCGAAATAAAATATAAAAAAGTAAGTAATTACAAATATATAAATATTAAATCTAATTAGTGTACTATAAATATCCTGTTTTATTTTTTTACTATTGACTTTATTATAAAAATTTAAGTCAATAATAGGTGTTATTTAATTGGTCTGTATTTAATAAAAAAGTTAATTTTTCTTGTAAAAGAGTAAATAAAAAATAAAATTGATGGAAAATAATAATATATTTCGCTTCTTATTGGCTTCTCTTGATGATACGCATAACAATATTATTTAAACCTCTAATTATTGGTGCATTATTATTTTTATTAATCGTGATTATTTTTTTAATACTAATAATAATGTTTGTTATTACTATAATACTGATATATAAGCTTTAAAATAATATATGGTATAAAAGAACTTTTACAATAATAAAATAATTATTAACGCAAGCATTAAAATAATTATATTTATTTACAAGTGAAGAAGCACAACATTATATTCCACTTTTCTAATAATATTACTTTTACTGTTTTATTTTAAAATATACCCAAACGTTTTTTTTCTTTATTATATAAAAAAGCAGTAATTATTTTTAAAATTTATATATAACATAAGCCAACCATAGTAAACATAAGTAAAAGTTCCTAGAAGAAGTTGGGAGTCAAAGTTTGCTACTAAACCGCCTCTTCCAAGAATCAAATCGTCAAAGTCCTGAATATAATAAAAAAAATTTACTTAAAAAGATCCACCATTCTTGATAAAATCTAAAGTACAAACGCAATGAGAAGATGAAGTTAAAAGTTAGTGAAGGTATTATAACAAATTTCTTTGGACTATAAGGCTATACCAGCAACCATAAAAATTTTTTAAATTCAGTTAGCCCAACAGGCCTATAACACTTAATAGTTTGTTTTGAGGGCTAAACAACTGCCCTCATTACCAACATATATATTTATATCAACGAGTTGATAAGAAAATTATAAATTAATAAAGTTGATGAATCAAAATGAGAATATATAAACCTTAACGTTAAAGGCGCGCTTAAACCCGCTCACAAAAAATCCGCCAAAAGGAGCTACGACGGAACCGAACAGCGATAAGACCAGAGCATCCAGTTGTACGGGATATAAATCTACGTGGTCTAACAACTATAAGGGATAAATATTACACTAAAATTTAAATAATAATGCAATTTAAAATTTTTAAATAAATAATAATTAAAACGTAAAAGAAAATTTCTGGTATGATGTAAATTTAAAAAATTTAAAGAAAGTTAATGTACTGAATTAACTCCAACAAAATTTAGTGCACGTCACAGAACTCTCGACAGGAACTAAAATTACCGAAAAAGGAAAAACGGCCGGGATAGAGAAGCGATAAGGGATGAAACGATCATGTCTTTCACAATGGAAATCATAATTTGGAAGTAAACTCATTTCTTCTACGGGACAAACAAAGTAGTCATATTTAGCAAGTGTCCCAGCAGCCTATACAATATAATAATAAGAAAATAATAATAATAATAATGATAATAATAATAATAATAATAATAATAATAATAATAATAATAATAATAATAATAATAATAATAATAATAATAACCAAGAAGGTAACAAGAAGGGTAAATATGAGGCCTCCAACAAAACCTTCAAGCGTTTTTTTTGGGGAAAGTTCAATTAGCGAAGTTCTTCCGAAGAAAAAACCGAAAAAGTAAGAAGAGCAGTTGTTTATTCGTATAATAATGACAGAAATGACAAGCCAGAAAAGTCTATATATATTAAGGTATATAAAAGTTATTAAAAAAATAAATGTTTTATATTATTTCATTTTACAAACTAAACTCAACTAAAAAAAATAAATAGTAATATATATATAATAGTAATAAACATCAAAATATAAAAAGTTAAATGTTATTTTATATAATAAACTATCAAAAAAGAAGAGAAAGTTATAAATGAGCAACTGATTTTAAGAAGTCGTTTATAAAAATAAATTATTATAAAATCTATAAAAGAATAAAAGTTAAAGTTATATAAAGAGTTTTATTAATAAATTTTAAGCATTCATTAAAAAATAGTAAAAAAGTGATGTAATAAATACGTTTATTATTATATTTAATAAGTATTAAAATAAGGAAAAATATAAATAATTATAAAATAATATATAAATAAATAATATATATTTATATAGGAATAATAAAGAAAAATTACTATTATAAGCGTTTAATAAAAATAATAACAAAAAACAAAAAAATACAAAATAAGTAATATAATAGTATTATAAATAAAAACAGTAGTTATAAACTTTTCTTTTTAATAATAATTATAATAGTAACAAATAAAAAATATAAAGAAGTAAATAATATATTATAAATATTAAAATTAAAAATAAAGATCGTTACCTTATCTTTTCAACAAATTAAAATAACAAAAAATATAAAATGATATAAAAAAAATCTTAATATAATAAAAACATTATAAATATATAACAAAAAGGTTTGTATATATAAAATGGTAACAATTATAAAAAATTATAATAAAATTTATCTATAAACAATTAAATAGTTGTATAACTTATGAAAGAAACTATATTAAGATATAATAGAAACATAAAAAAATATAAAAAATAGTAATAAAAGTTATATAAAAATAAATAAATAATTTATATAATAATATAAAAACTTAAGTATCATATCAATAGAAACAAACTTTTAAAAAATTATAAATCATAGAAGTAAAACTTTTATAAAAACGAAATAGAAAAAATTGTAAAACAATATATAAACTAAAATATAATAATAAACTTTTAAAAAAGTTTATAAAATAGTAATAAACATTATTATAAACAAATTTAAAAACTTGTTTCTATTAAAAAAACTTGAATATAATAATAAAAAATTGGAAGATAGCAGAAAAGTTGTAAATAAAAGAATATTAAAGTTATATAACACTTCAAAGTAAAAATAATAATAACAACGAAGTCTTATAAATATATAAGAAATAGTTAAAAAAGTTTTATATTACCAAATAAAAAGTGTTATAAATAAAAAAGTTGTACAACAATATTAAAATGTTTTTTTTAAAAAGTGTTGTAAGAAAAATAAATAAATAAATAGTGTTAAGTTATTTCTTTATTATTACTATTTCAATTTTATATTTTAACGAAAAAATAAAAATATACTTTTTTTCTTTTTATTCACATATAAATACTGACAAAATATTTAAATAAACTAAAGTTATATTACTTTTTTATATCAAAAAGAAATAGTTTCAATTTAGAAAGGAACTACCAAATACCCGTTATACATATTAGAAACTAGAAGAGTTGATTGGCCAGCAATGATCAACAAAGCAACATGGGTCCAACCAAATTGGCGGAATTGCGTTTTCAAAAAACCTAAAGGCCAATAAAATTCGTTTGAAAAATAATAAAAATTGTTAAAAATAAATTTTTTATAGTAGACTATTTTAATATCGCACATAAAATTATCTTCTAACAATAAAGAATTATAATAAAAGTTAATAAAAATATTTTTCAACGATAAATATTAATATCCACGTTTAGAAATCTTTTATAAGATACTTTATTAGTTGAAAATAATAGCTGAGAACCTAGAAAGAAAGTTTATTGGATAATTAACTTATTAGTTGACCAATAATTAATATTTTAAGTATAATCAATTTAATGACTATTAGAGATGTTAACCATTGTTTATGAGTTAAAAATAAATAAAAAACTTTTCGTATATAATTTCTAAATAAAAAATTTCCTTATAAGTAAAAATAGTTAATGACAAAATATTTTATATTTAAATAATAATTTGTTCCAATTTTTTATAGGAAGTATTAAATTTGAATATAAAAATACTAAAAGTTTGTTAACTTTTATGAAGTAAGGTTTTTTATGAAATTAACTTTTTCAATTATACAAATTGTATAAATAATTTTTTTAATGCGCCTTTACAAACATAAAAGAAATTCTAAGATGCGCTTCATAATTTTTTTTAATATTTAAATTCTTTCATTTTTTCGCAAATCAGCATTAAATAAAAATATAAACAAAAGCGTGGAATTCTATTTTTAGAGATATTACAATTCTAATTCGTTATTGAGTCTGTTGTAATTTTTTATTAAGCAAAAAAAAAAATAATGTCCAATAAAAAGCGTATAAAATTACTATAACGCTTATTAGGACCAATAAAATTCAATACTTTAAGTATTTCGATGGGTTGTATAGTAGTAAATTTTTTTTTACAATATATAAAAAAATATACAAGAAAAATACGTTCTTCTAATATTTATTTATACTTTTTGGGTATACTTTTTTTTACAGGAATTGTAAGTATTACTAAATATATATCATCATTATATTTTCTTATATTTTTATTATAAAGTTTTAAATATTTTTTAAAATAAAATTATATTTTTATATAAAAACATTAATGATTTAATATTTTTTAATAAATAATTTCATGTTTCATTAAGTTTATATTAATTTTTATTTTTAATTTTATTCTTTTGTATCTTTCGTATATGTATTTACTTTCTTATAAATTTATTTTATATTTATATTTTTTAATAATTTAATTTAATATAATAATCGGCAGGAGTTAATTATTAAAATAATAATAATGAAAGCTGTTCCAAATATATATTTTTTAAATAAATTAAAAATTTTAAAAACACAAAAGAGTTTATAACTATTTTTTAAGGTTCAATATAAATCATAAAATATAACTCATTTGGTTTGTAAAAAAAGTTAACTTTGTTTTAACCAATAAAATTTATCGAATTTTTTTTAAGCCAAAATAAATTCATGCAAATAAACTACTTAAGTATACAAAAAGTTATAAAAAAATATTATAATATTATTTTTGTATATAAAGTAAAAAGTAAAGGGAGGGCGGCTCTACGTTAATACCAATTTTAAAAAATCCACTTAGCGAATGTAAATAGTTAAAGCTGACTTCTAAAAGTAGTGATTCATGAATAGTTTATATTATCATAAATATTTTCAAGATTTCCATTATTGTTTAATCCCGACTACTATTATCATTATAAACAAAGCTAAAAAATTTTTACTACTACGTAAGAAAAAATACAAAAAATATGTAAATTAGTAACTACAATTTAAAAAATAAAAAAAATCTTATAAGAAATTTTATGAAATTAATATGAAATTTATTATTATTACATAAAAATATGTAAACAACGTTTAAAAAAAATTTATATAAAATAAAATATATAAATATACAAATATAATAAATAGAAAAGAAAAATTAACTTTATTTATACATTGTTTATATTATTTCTACTAAAAGACTTAAAGATTTTGAAGTTAATTTACTGTATAATGATATTATTAACGCGTATTATTGCCATTATTATAATTACGAACACTAAAAACTTTAATGAAGAAGAAATCTACTATACGAATATATAAAATTAAAGCTACTTATACGTAACAGTTATAGTTATTATACCATCTTATATATAAAAAAAGTAATCTTACTAATAAAATTTGAATATTCTAATTCAATTATAGTTATAAATTAAATCATATTTATTCTATCCAAAAAAAATAAAAGCTGAAGTTATAAGCATTTTTCAAGAAAATTTTATAAAATGATATTAATATATATAAATAATAAGTATTAATTATAACTTTCCTGAATTGAAAATTTTAACTCGTTCTTTAGCAAAAAAATTTTTTTTTATATAAAATGTGAAATTATTACAAATTCTAAAGTATTTTTAAAAAGAATAATAAGAAATTCACAAACCTCTTTGAAGCGTTAGCACAAAAAATAAGATTCCAAAAGTATAAAGCGAGAATGAGATGAAGTGGTGTTTGGCGATCAGCGCATCAAAAAGATTTAATACAACTAAACGTATACAAAATTGTATTAATTATAACAAATCTATAAAAATTCCATAAAACGTTTTTTATAAAATTTAATAAAATCTTTTTTAGGTAAAAAATTAAAAAAAAAAAAAGAAAATTGCTAATAATTATGTTAAATTAAATTAAATTTTTTTTCTAATAGTAATCTTAATAATTGAAATTTAAATTTTCTACAGCAATAAAAATAAAAATAATATTTTACTAAATTAAAAATTAGGTCTACCAATCTTTATTAATATTTAAAAATAGATAAGTATATTTATAATTTAATTATAATTAATAGTTTATTTGCTTTAAATATAAATTTATCTGTATAAATTTATTTATATATTTTTTAAGTAAAAATTTAAATATTGAATTATTAAATAATGATTATAAGAATTTATCAGTAATAAAATTTAAAAATAAGTGTTAGAAATAAAATTCTAGAATGTGCACAATTTTTAAGAGTTAAAAATGAAATTGCAAAGTTTGAATTTTTATAAAATTTGTTTCACTAAAATAACTTTAAAAAATAAATAAATTAATTTTTGAAAAGGCGCCTTTTTGGAAGATTTAAAATATAATAAGACTCTATTTTTATTACTCAGTATTATAAAAAAACAAAACCTTTATTAGTGGAAATGGATTTAAAGATAATTTGCTTAATAGCAAAAGTCAAACGTTCGCCGAATAAAGTATAGTTGAACGTAAATATATAATACCTAAAAAGAAACATTATTGTCTTCTTTTAATTTATGTAACTATTATGATTATTAAATTTGTTAGATAAGCACCAGTTAAGCGCACGAAACCATTTCGGACGGGTTTCTTTATTTTTATCAAAAGCGATCATTATTATTTCATGAAAACAAATTAGTTGTAAAAAGATGACCTGCGCAAATAATTAGCGGTTTATTGGAAAATATAATTATATATAACAGATGCAATATAGATTATTTAATATTATTCTTTATTAACGTATTCACTATTATGACCAGAAGTATAGTGTACAAAGGCCCACAGAACACGACCGCTATAAAAAAGAATAGTTGAAAGATATGCCTAATATATATAAATAGTAATAACTGGTATAAATAAGTTAAATATTATGATTTTATTATTGAAAAGTTTACAATAAAGGGGACTGATACCATCTACTCTCCCTTCTTTGTAGATGAATTAAGTTTTTGGACCTCTATTTAAAAAACGATTTAACTTATATTATAAACATTAAAATCCGAAACTTACGAAAAGTATAGAGCGTACGTTCTTCTCATGCTCCTTTTTTCCGTTAATCTCTACATTTTTTTCTTTGGAAGAAGGAGGAGAAGTAGGTTTTTTGCGGGACCTCATTATAAAGAGAAAACTAAAAAGATAGAATATATTTTCTATTTGGATAATACTAAAATAAGGTAAAATTGTTAATACAAAAAGCTGCGGAGATGAGGGATAGCGCAGAATGGAAAACGAGCTACTTTTTAAACCTTGCCCTTTTTATGAACATGTATAGTTTAATTATATTAAATGTTCTTTGCAGAAGTGTAAATTGAAACTAAAAGAAATAAAAGCCTTAGAATTTGAATTATTAAGATATTATATTTATATTAATTAAGGTACGAATTACTAGTAGACTAACTACGGCCTGCAAATTTAAATCTAAATATCAATCATATATGTATAAGCTAAAGATTATTGCAAAATAACAGTTTTATTACAAGAGTATTAGAATCGTTAGAGCTTCATAAACTTAATTAAAAAACAAAATTTTATTTTATATACAATTACGGCGTATATAACATATTTTTCTTAAACATAAAGTTTAACAAAATTCTTTTTTCTTCTTAATCCACTAAATAATTGAAAAAAACTAAAAGATCTAATAAATTAATTAGCTTTAGGGAAATAAAGCTTTCATATGAGTGCATAGTAAATTTTTTACCTCCTTAAAAGGTCTTCATTAGTAAAACTCGCTTAATTAACGCAAATTTAAAACTACTTTTAGTTAAAACTTTAAATAGGGATCGATAAATTCTGCAAAAAAAATAACAGAATTTAATAATGTCGAATATAAAAGTTATTTATTTTAACTTTAAGGTATAAATACACAATAAGCTGCGGATAATAAATCGGTCTTCAAGGATTCTCGTTCTGAGCTTGTGTATTCTATGTTATAGATGACTTTATTGTCGCTCAATGGCTATGTTAACTGTTTCGTTTTTGAAGATTGTAAAATATGGAGATTAAAATGAAAAAGTTAATGTTAAGTATACTATTAAAAAAAAAGTTTAAAAATATTTGCAAAACAGTTTTAAAAAGTTACATTCTGTCTAACTGGGCTTAAAGAGTTACAAACTCTGTTCTACTTTATTCAACAAATAAAAATTACACATTTACGAAAATATAAATTTTTAAAGTTTTAAGTCAAATATTATTCTCATAAAACTACAAAAATATAGTACTCAGAGAAGTAAAAAAGGTTGATATTAATAAAGTAAAAAAAAGTAGACAAAAGTTAATTTGAAGCTTTGAATTACCAGAAATTACCAAAACAGAATATATATAATACTTGACTTTACTGTGCAAACAATTAAAAATATAGTATTCACAAAATAAAAAGTGTAAATAAAGTTAACGTACTTTAAAACTAAACTCCAGAAAATATAAGATAATCGTTAAAATCTTTTACCATAAAAATAGAAAGATATAAGTGGCAAAATAAAAAGACAGATATTATGAGTATAAACATAAATAATTAACTTATTCATAATAAGAACTGTTTCGTTAATTAATTTTAAGTGTAACAGATTGCGGGATACCTTTGTACAAGCAATGCAAAAGTTTTTTTTTTCAAACTATAGAAAAAGTCATAATTTATAATTTTAGGCTAAAAAACCTTTAAAATTTATTATTAATATTTTTTCCAGTAAACAGTTTGACTCGAATACAAAAGAGAAATATATAAATTATATTTTTCGTGTTTCAGTTTTATTTTTTTGAACTACGAAAGTATCCATACTTTTGTAAAGTTTTCTGGTAGAAAGAATATTACTTCATTCATTATAGCTTCAACCAATTTAAATAAAAATTTTTTTTATTATATTTTTCTGGCCTTCGCTTAATATATTACCAAACATGTAAAAAACTGAATATTTCATTTTGGGGGGCCCCTCATGGCAACAGTAGAAAACAGTTGAGAAAAGTTGAGAAAACTGTTTAGAATAGTTTTTTAGCTTGGCTTATTAAAATTTTGTTTTTGTAAAAAGCGGAATATAAAGTTTTGGTTTACTGTATATATTTATTTTCATGGAAGATTCTTGTTTGGTTTTTTATCAATGGCAGCCAGGTTTTTTTAATTTCTTTGTAAGTCGATTTCTTCCTTTATAAATTACTACAGAGTGGGATTTACCATCTTTTGATGCGAATTGCTTAACTTTTTTGGTATATTGCTTAATATAAAATTTATTTTGCCTATTTTCGTTTTTTTAACTATATTTTAATTTTACTTCTTACCATGAAAGACGTTAATGAAGTTTTCTAAACTTGAATTTTCCTTATTAAATTGTAACAATCCGGCCGTTTCTCCATCTAGTTAGCTTTATGTATATTTCTTTATTGGTGTGAAAATTTTTACTTAGTAAATTAAATTTTTAGGGTTTATTTTATTAATATTTTTTTTGGAAAAAAAATAAGAAAATCTCTGCACTTCGAGAAACGTGCAAGGATTGATACTTCTTTCCAATATTAAATTAATAATTTTTATAATGTGAGAGCAGACTTTTCTCATTATTATAATTTATTCATTAAAACATTTATTTTTGTAATTTTTTTAAAAATTTATATTTTATAGTTATAATTTAAATATATATACCTTTTTGATTGCGTGAAGTATCTTTTTTTTTATTTTTAAATCTTGTGAGTTAGGATTTACTCATTAATTTTGCAGCTTTTTTTTTATTACCTTCATTAAATGATTTAATTTACTTTATAATTATATTTTTTTAATTTTTTTTATTTTTTACATTATAATAAGTATTTTTGAATTTGCTTTTTACTTGTGTTTTCATTAGAAAGGTTGCCCTTTTTAAGAAAAGGAAACACTCTTTTTTCTAGAGATGAAGAAATTATTAATTTGTGTAAATCGGTTGTTATATAAATTTTTTTTTATTTTACAGAAACCAACTAAAATATACTTTAAAACTAATTTTTATAAGAGATTATTTTTATTTTAATTTATTTTAACTTTTTTAATTAACTTTCAGTCTTTTATAAAGAAAATTAAAAAAATCAGTTTTTTATAGGAATATTATTATTTTTGATTGCTGCTAATTAAGTTTTTTTAACTCTACTTATAAAAACTTTTATCTTAATAATTTATAAACCACTTAATATTGTTTAATTGTTCTACTTTAAAATATTAATATTAATTTTTCTTTAAAAGTTTTAAATTCTTTTGTGATTATTTTTGGTAGTTTTAGTTATTTTTATAATTCCGTTTTTCTTTTTACTTCTTACTCTTTTGTAAGTAAATAAATAATTTATATTTATTTAATTTTTTTGTATAGTTTGGTACACTTCGATCTTTAGCTTCTAAAGAAGAAATTATTTATCGGGTTTTCAAGAATTTAATTTTGAACAAAATTTTTATTGTGATGGTAACTTTATACTTTTTTTTGTTTAATAAAAGTTTTAGTATATTTTACGTTAATTTTTTATACACAATTTTAATTTACAATTTCTACCGAATTTTATTAATTTAAATTTGGATTCTGTAAAGTTTCTTTTATATATATTTTTATTAAAATATATATAAAAATATTATAAATTTTAGCTTTACTACGCGTGGAAAAATGAGATCAATTACCGAAAGATTACGTGGCCTCTCTACTCCAAATTTTATGTTTTTCCTTTAAATTATTGGCTTCCATATAAAATTAAAAAAAGAGTATTTTTTAAATCAATTTAGTATTTATAAATATTTTGAAATTTGCTAATTAATTGAATATAAATTTTCATTTTAAAATTTGTAAGAAAAGTTTTTTTAAAATAATTCTTTTAACTTATATTTTTTTTATATTATTTCTATTATTATTTTTCAAGATTTAAAAATTTTAGAATTTTCTTTCAATTTTTCGACGTTTTATATTTTTCGAATAGTTCTCCATTAGGTTTAGAAAAAAAAAATTTAAAATTAATTTTTAATTTATATTTTTATATGATATTATTTTTTTAAATTATATATTTTTGTATTTTTTGTATTTGCATATAATATATAGTTTAATTATTATTTTTTATTATAATATATATTTATTTTGCTATTATTATATTATTTATATTAACTAAAACTTAGAGTTTTGTTTCTTTATCAGGTTATGTTCGTTAATTTCTACTTTACTTTCTTTTAAAAATTTATCATTTTGGTTAATTGTTTCACCTCTTTTTTTCGTATTTTATTTATTATTATCATTTTATTTAATATTAAAACGTTCATCATTTTCTAATAATTTTTTTTAAGGTTCTTGAATTTTTAGACGGTCGGTTTAGTGGATACGGCGAAGGCGATGTAAATTATTATTATTTTATTTTATTTATATTATAATTATTACTAATTTTTTTATATTTATAATTTTTTTAATTGTTATTATTGTTTTAGTAATGCTTATTATTATTTTATATTTTATATTTATTATTTTAGTTATTATTAATTTATTTATATTTCAAGATTAATAATATATTTAATTGTTATTATTGTCATTGTCATGCTAATTATTAATTATTTGTATATATAATTAGTATAAATTTTATTATATCTATAATTGTATTTTTTAAAATTTTTTATTTTTTTTTTACATATTTTTTTAATAATAATATATAGTTTTTAAGAGAAGTTGTTGAGGCCTTTCAAACGTTATCTTCTTTTTTAGCCGAAAAGAAGTTTTTCTTCGGCGATCAGTTGGATTTATAAATTTTTTATATTTCGAATTTATTTTTATAAAAAAGTCTTCGTATTTAATATTAATTGTAAAATCAAATTTTACTTTTTTAAAGATTTAATCTTTTTTATTATTACAATAATTTTATGGTTTGGATTTTTATTTTTTATTTTAATCAAAGATATATTTTTTTAATTAAAATTAATTTAACTTTTTTTTGGAATTCTCTTGTATATTTCATGAAGAAATGCATTTTATAAATTCCATCTTTAGAAATTTTTTTTAATTTTTAAAATTTAATTTACTTTTAGTTTTTTTAGTTAAAATAATTTCCCTTATATATAATTAATTTATTAAAATTTTTACAACTTCATATATAGTATTTCGTGTTGCTAATTTTATAATAACTCTTTGAGATTTTTACCTTTTTTAACTGTAATTTTTTTAATTCAGACCCACCGAACTTGATGCTTTTGTTTTCGGTTACCTTCAGGTGATTTTGAAAACTCCATTTATGGATGAGCGACTTTCAATAATATTAAAGGATTTTAGCAATCTTTGCCAGTTCTGTGAAAATATTCATATTTTATACTATAAAAAAAATTAATTTTTTGCGAGAATCGACTTTAATTAATAAAAATATTGTCTTAATTATTAATTTAAATTATTTTTAATTTATTAGTGGAACGGGATCGTCGCGTTAATATGTATAGTACTAGTACCTAATGACTATACAACTACATATTTTATCCGAATGGCCTATTAAGACGATCCGAAAGTGAGAATGTCATTGCCACTGTTACAACCATGCGTTTAGGTACAAAGTTGTACCAATGGCCCCGGAAGCAGAACTTAAGTTTTAGGTTACATAACTCATTATGCAGGTCTTGCCTCCATGGTGTTCAGTTGACCTTGCTAACTCTAATAAAAATAGTTTTCCGAATAACTTGGTTATAATTTAATGATTTTTTTAATTGAGGTTAACAGTTTGTTGCTTTATAAGAATTCTTGCGAGACTCTTGCAACATTCGTGACACACTAAAAAATCGAGCCATTCACGACTTTAATAAAAAAAAGTTATGAAGTTCGTTATGAGTTTCGGAGTGATCTTTCTATTGCTTATTTACAGCCTGCAAGTTTGCTCTGCTTGTGTAAATTGTTAACTAATATTAAGCCTTTTTGGTTTATTTAAAGATAAAATGGGTTATTTATATTTAAATAACAACACTGAAAAAATAAATTATGTATAAAACTGAAATTTTTTTTCTCAGAAAAGCATTTATTTTATAGATGTGATAGAAAATTTTATAAAACTTGACGGAGGTTTAACATTTTTGATTATTCTTAAAATCCGTAAGCGCTTACTTAAAGTATTGTCCTGCAATTTTACGGAATAAGTAATCTTTTTTTACAATTTCATAGAATCTTTAAAGGTGTAGAGTAAATTTATTATAACGTTTTTGTGAATCTTAGTAATTGAGGATGTGTGGATGTCATTAAATAAGTTCGAAAGAAACTTTGGGTTTTGCTTTAGATGTTTATTTAAATGTTATTATTTTCTGAGCTGCAATGCAGGAAGCTATAAGTAAATTGTTTTTGCGCTTACAAGAAAAAAGTTTGTTTTTATTCATTAATTTAATGAAAAATAATTTAAAACTACTAGTGAAAGCTTTTTTAGAAACTTGATTGGCGTTTAAGCAAAGTTTGTATAATTTTTATTAGGAGAACTTTCTAGAAGCCTTTTATTATCTGGCATAGGACATTCCTCTAAAAAATCCGGATAAGCACCCTCTTTATATTTACCTCTCAAAATACTCGCTGCCGGGCAAGATTGGAGAAGGATATGCAACACTCTTTCCAGTAGGATTCCTCGACTATTCTTTAAAGCTACGGCCCATTTTTTTAAAAGTGCTAAATCTATATGGAGCGGAAGCGAGTCAAGTGTACCTAAGCAGAGGAGAACAACAAAAACTCGAAAACAAGATAGTGGAGGGAAACAAAACTAGCTAACCGACGTCATTATCAGAGTGAGAGAGAAGACCGTGAGTGGTGCCTCTGTCAAGTGTTATCACTTGCACTGCGTAAAGAGTGTGGTAGTAAAGCTGACACTCCCAAGCATCAACAGTTACACTAGCCAAAGGAAATTTACAGAGCCGGCTCCGAGCGATTTGCGCGTATAAAGATATGACTTCTTTTGCTAAATTATTCGCAAGTTCCTGACAGTTTTGGTAACAAAAGGTCATCATCTAAGGATGCTATAAAAAGGCGGCAGGTACCACGCCGGCGGTTCAACGCTGGTATAAAAAAGTATTTATCACCATATTCGAGAGCCACAGAAAGAAGCTTGCAACGAATCACGGCTTTCAAAATCTGAAGTTAAAATAGCAAATAAGCGACTTTAACCCCAAAGAATATTGTAAACTAATTTCCATATACATATAAACAAATATACTAAATAGGTTAAATTATCTAAGGAAAAAATAATTAATAATAATAATAACCAAACTAATTAATATATACGATAAATAACAACTAAATAAAAAAATATGTCATCTAAAAGATATTAGTGCTCTAAATAGATTTTATGATAAATTTACAAATAGTAAAAAAAGCACGGATTCTACACCATAGCTGTTATAAAGCAGTGTTTAACTCAGAGATGAGCAAGGTTTTAACCAGGTAACCCAAAAGATACCCGCTCACAACTAATATAAAGCCTTTTCCTTTGCTAGGACAGGTAGGAAAAGAAAGGAATAAAAGTGCAATTCAACTTATGTTTTCGCTAAAACATACTTTAAAATAAGTTTTAAGTTCTTAAAATAACTACCAAAATTTAATAAGTACCTTTAAAAATAAGTTTTTATCTTCTTCAAAAGGAATGGAGGGATTTATATCTGCTATCAATCTCTAATACCCTTTAAATGTAAAAACAAACTATTATGTATAACAAATAAAGTATAAAATAAACTTACCAAGTTTATTTTTGGGACTAAAAAAGCTTATGTGAAAATGAAGAGATGACATAAATGGATTGCTGAGCAGGAGTATAAGAAAAATTTTTTAAGGTTTTATTCAAAGAATCACGCTGGATGTATAATTGCTGAGGGCGCTGTGGCAGAAGAAACTGACGATGAGGTGGGATTATCAAAGTAAACATAGGAAGCATTGATCGTTGCTCTGTTAAAAACCTCCGAGTTTTCAAATTGATATCTTGTCCCGCCACCATTTTTACCTTGATTTCTAAACCATTCCACGACTTCAAACGTAGAGCTACTAAAAAGCTCGAAACAAAAAATAATAAAAACCTTTAAAAGCTCAGTACATCGTATTGTCAGTATAGCTAGTGCCTCCAGGGTCAACGCTTTGATGAACATCGTGGAAGTACTTTTGCAATTCAAAGACAAAATCTTTCATAGAAGGTGTGGGGAAATTGTCCTTCAATAAATAACTTAATAAAAAAGCTATAACTAAAATTCATATCTTTGTTGTAAATATCGATATTAACTAAAATAAATTAAACACTAAAACTTTACTTTTATTGGCTAGTGCTATAAAAAGTGTAAGTGAAAAGCCTTAATCGCTCCCAAAACCATTAAGTCCTGTATCTCCAAGGAGTACAAAAATCATGTAAATGTTTAAATTCTTCCATCCATGCCGAAAAGCATTAAGGGGAACGAGCATTTATCATGTTAAGAGGCCATTCCCCCCAAAAGTAAACTTTGTCTCCTTAACTTTTAGCGTACTTGTGTAATAGAGAACAACCAAAAAATAAAGTTAGAGCGAAGTTTACTTTAGTGTGCATCTAATAGTTATAATTTTTTTTATCAATTCTTTTAAAAACCCGAATATGAAAGGTTATTTCGGGTATTGAGCTTGTCATTTAAAGGTACATAGTAGGACTTTTTTCCGCTTAATGATTGTTATGTAGGTTGTGCAATAACATGATTATAATAATTATTATTTTAATGATAATCCCTAGCATTATTACTAAGTTGCTGAGATTTTGAAATCATTAATTTTAAATTTTACCGGCTCTTAAGGAAAGAATTTAGAAAAAAAAATTTTATTCTACCTAATTTTTTGTGGTGGTTTGTGCACTTCAACTTTTTACTACGGATTTGCTATAATTATTTAACTTCTTTATTATTGTAAGTAGTGACGGAGAAAGATTGCTCACAGGAAATGGTAGCTTAATTTACTAAATGCCTTTAAAGATCTGCAAATAAATTTAGATTTCGCAATAAACTCCTTGCGGGCCCAAGAAATAAGAGAACTTTCTACAGGCCAAGACCCCTAGAAACGAAAAGTCAAGCATTAGCTATAGAACTTTCCACCAAAAATATATTTTTTCCACTCTGAATACAGACCAAGGAACTTTTATTGAACCTATTGACAGCGCAAACTATCCCTGTGGTGACTTTAAAATTTTATTTACCAAAATTAAGAAAAATAAAGCAGATAATAATATTAGTTCTTTGTAGTAGTAAAAAAACTAACTATAATGATAACGAAGACAGTGATAATAACAAAAGTAGCAATCATGGTAGTAGTATTAATAATAATAAGGTCCCCGACGCCACCCCCCCCTTCCCCCCCTATTTTTTAATAGAGAGCTTGTGAGTTTTTATTCTTAGAACTTATAGCTAACGTATTTCGAAAATGAAATCATAAAATTTACAGCCCTCTTGATCAATGAGCATGACTATTATACTTCCCATTACCTTCTAACAAAGTTTAAAGATGGCCTTAAGTAGTGTCTTTATTAAGAGAAAGGAAGAATATATTAAGCAAGAGCTCAAAGCCATCCTTTTTCAGTCATCAGAGTGCGACGCTAGGACAAAACCAGAACTCCAGTCCCCTTGGGACTTGTTAAACTACCTCAGGCTGAGAAAAGTATATAGACATAAATGTAGACTACATCACAGTCCTTGTGGAACATTGAAGAAGAGCGGTAGGGGCAAATGTCTTCGATGACATATATTCGGGAATGCGAAAAATTATACTCCTTTAGCTGCAAAAGTGCTGCATGCGGTGAAGATAATGCCACGAAGTTTTGACCGAAAGTAAGAGAAGAGAGGCCAAGATGTGCAGACTGGAAGGGTGAACACATTACTAATTACAAGGGATCCATTTTCTACCCCAAGAATACACCTCTTAAAAAAATTAAGGAAAATTGAAAGTAAGGAAATTACAGAAATTGATCTATGCCCGCAAAATATTAAGCTTTTAACGTCTAGTCTAGGTAAACCTATATTAAACCATGTGGTAGTTTTGTTAAATGTACTATCAGTAATTAAATTTAAAGTCAATAGGGGATTTATTAGATAACTAGAATATCGTTAAAAAAATAGAATTTCGGATTGCAGACGGATTAAGAAACATAAAAAAATGAGAATTACTTAAACTTGTTATTCTTTACTCTTTATTAAATAAGTTTTATCAAAAACTTAAAAAAAGGTAACTAAAACTTAATATCCAAATTACACTACTTATAGTGGCGACCGCATGACTACGAAGTAAAGTTGAGTTGTAAATATTGTTAAGGAAGACATTCAGCAAAGTAATAACCTTTAGAATTTTAAAGCTTTTGCAGTAGGCATCAAACTACAAGAAAAAAGCGCTGTTTCGTGGTCCCCGAGTCCCGAGCTAAAAATAACACTGTTGTATCAGATATTGTAGTACCTAAAAGTGTGTACTTACCTCTAAGGGTTACTTTTATTCACAAACTGTCCTCCATTGTAGGTTGCATCTTTTTGAACTGGAAGGCACTCTTTTCTTTGAAGACACAAATACTATCATAATATTTCATTGACTACTTTAACAAACAACAAGGGATAATAGCTTTGTGAACATACTTTTCCGCCCTCGGAGCAGGGTCACTTATGGGTCAGTTTCTCATCTAGAAGCAATTATTTAAAGAGTTATGAATCTGCCTCAACTACTAAGTCCTCCATTCCTTTAATATAATAATGCTCACCGCTTTTAAACGTTTGATTTAAAGGAGACGGGTGTCTGGAAATAGGCTTTGAAGAGGTTAAAAAAGTCTAACAAAATTAGTTAATTATTAAAGAAAGCACTAATTAAACCTAATTACAATTTTTAAGAAGAAATGTAAAATTACATTCCGCGGACTAGTGAATTTTTATAAGGCCCCTAAATCCATGCCGGCATATAAGGCTTATCATCCAATTATTATAATGACGCTGCACATACCGTGCCTGCTAAACTCTTACCCTCTTTTTCTGAGAACTTTTTGAAGACAAAAGCAATTCACGAAGATAGATCTTGACTGCGGTACCCTAAACTCTAATTTGGACGCTTACTGTTTAATCAGTCTGGAAGGGTTTACAAATAATTAGCCCACTCCGGAATAGGACGATGGTAAATTTAACCGGCGCCCCACGTGTTACTAGTAAGTCTATTGCATTCACAAACGGCTTTTCATCTCGACGTTGACTATATCCTTTCTTCCAAATTGATAAAAATTGGAAGTAATTAATATCTAACTTAAAGAAATTAGGATACTTTTCCAGGGATGTCGACCCATAAGTTACTATCCCGCATAGGTAAAGTTGCGGATGCATTACTTGCGGGTTAAAAAAGAATTTTAGTTTGGTTTTCGGAAAAAGCACTTTACCAGTTAACAAACCCTAAGACTTTCAAAATGTATTACTAAGTCCTTTAACGAACGAAAAAATACAGCCATAATATTCTTAGGTGTGGAGAAAGCCTTCGATAGAGTTTCATATAATGGTCTTGTAGATAGGATTGCCAAGTTTCACTTTCCTATGTCCATAGTCCAAGTAATTCTAAATTTTTTATCAAGAGAAAATTTACAGTTCGCATAGGAACTAATAATTCGATTGTAGAAGATTCAAAAATTGGAGTCCCACGATGATCGCTTTTATTCCAAATTCTATTAGCGATTTTTGTAGCAGGTATACTCTAATCAAATACCGTACTAATAGCCCAATGTGAGGACGACACAACTATATTATGCAGCTCTAAACCGACGACTTTTGTTAAAAAAACATTTACAACTTATACTGCTCACTTTGGAATCTTGGTGTGCTGCATGTAATATAATTTACGCTACTAAAATTAGGCAGTAGTAATTACATGTAAAAGAAAAATAATTTTAAGCCATTAAGCCTTACATAGCTTTTGAAGTGCTATTTTGTGGAGCTTATGTTAAAAAATAGGGAGTTGCCACAGATTACTAACTTGAATGTTGAGTATGTCATGATAAAGGGGATAAACGTGCCAAGAATGTTTTATCCCCGTTAACATGTAGGTGCAGAAAACTTCACCTTATAAATAAACCGCTTTTATATAAAATTAAACTTTGTCCAGTCTTGGTGTATACTTCTGTTTGGTGTTCCCACTTTAAGTGTCATACAAATGGGCTTGTAGTTTTTCAAAGCAAACTACTCAGAATGATCCCGGATGCTATGTGGCTTATACGTTATACTCAGTTACATCGCGACTGTCAACTGGAGACAACAAAGGCTTTGTTTTATATAATTGTGAGTAAACAATATAAAGAATACAGCAAACATCCTAATATTCTATTAGCTACTCATGTTTATTATATATGACTCAAAACACATTTTGTGGCCGCTTCCTTAAAGCATTGACTTAGCATCCTAATATTAGTTTTTAATGTATATAATATTAGATTGTACTTCACACCTTTTGTTACAGATAGTTCAAATCTAATAAAAATAAATAACAAATAATTTTGTTATTTTAACCTGCTAACGCCAAAGTAACTATTTAGTATGCCTCAGTTTACATATTTAAAAGCATAGCGTATATTTATATATCAATAAATTATATACTGACTTATTTTACTAGTTATATTTTTAACAAGTCACAATTATAACTTGATGTTCTTTCTTCGTTTATGTAAAACATTTGGGATGTGTGTACAAAAGAGGGTTTCACATTTTGTGAGTGTTACAATTTTTAAAAATTCCTTAATTCTATGCAACAAGCACAAAAAATATATCGATACGGGAGCAGAAGCGCCGTCAAAGGGTGAAGCAAAAAATTTTGCTTAAATTTTTTATAATATAAAATCACAGTAAAGATTTATATTTGAGCATCTTATATGATAATTCACTTAAATATACTATATAATTAACGGATTTACTAAGTAAATTACCTTATATATCCCTTTATATATATATTTTTTAAGTCTAGTAGGTGCGGTTGACTTTAACCATTAAGCTATCTTATAAGCAATTATAAATTGAAAACATAAGCCTCTTTCCGAACTTTAACTATTAACGATATAATTTATAATAGAAAAACCGCTATGCTTTCCTATTTTAAAACTATTGCACATTCTGTATCGCCTAATAAATTTTTTTTATCCCAATAAATATAAGAAACGTTAAAAATACATTATTACATAAATTAGGAGAAATTATTAAATATAATTTGTAAAAAACAGGAAATCACAGTAATAGTTACAATAATCGATATTTCATCATTATATTTAATCTGTACCTCTATATTAAATTGCTAAGTATTAAACAAAATGAAGAGTACAACTTAAAAGTATAATTAGCTTACGAAGCATATTTACTTAAAAGCTTATGCAAAAAAAAAGTTGAAAATGGATTTTTTATGTTAAGAAACCTACTACATTACTTAGAAAAAAAATTTTTTTACACCCAAATCTTTACAGGACTAAGGTGCACTATAGGTCTAACAATTATAAAAAATACACCTAAAAGTCAATAAGTAAACTTTTCAGATTTTATATAAATAATTTATAATATATACTGTCTCTTCATAAAAACACAGTACATCCACTGAGCACGATAAATTGAAATAACAGCGCTGCACAAAGGTGTAGAGAAAGCAAAAAAAGAATTGGAGCTTGTAAACCCCATCACATGCAGCAATTTATTACCTTTTTACTTTTACAGTAGTCATTAGCTTCTCTTTTATATAAAGTGTTTATTTTTTGTATAACACATTTCCAAAAATGAAACGGACAAAAGCAAAGAGAAAGTTTAGAGGAAATAATTGTAGAGTCAAAAGACCTTTAATTAAGCCTGTAAAAAGTTGCAAACAACAATTTATACTGGAAGGTTTAAACACTAAAAGAAGGTATATAAGTTTAAATTTATGTTTTTTAAGATCAAGAAAGAAAAGGAGAAGTTGAGTTTAAAGAGGATAGAGAAGAAAATAGAAGACATATGCAATTTGGGAAAAAATTAGTTTCTTCTGATCCCCTTGAAAGAGCTAAAAGTATATTTTTTAGATTATTATGGAAATAATAATCTCTTTAAATTGTATTTAAAAGGTTTTAAAAAGTTCAAACGCTGGTTTGGCCAGCAAAGAGACTTAACTGAATTGGCACGTATTTTTTATTACTATAATTATTTATAACTACCTTATAGATTTTTATTGATTAACTTATTTTACAGTTAAATTATTTATTTTCTTTATAAAAAGACCTTTATTAAGGATTATACGTTTTTTTTATTATTTATATATGTATAGTACTTTTTATAATATCTGTAGATTTATTTTTATTCCTTTTTAATTTTTTATATAATTACTATATCAGCTTATGTGTTATTGGCTTTTATTTTGTTAATTAAATAATTTTTATAAATAATATTAAATCTTTTGTTTGACTATATTTCTATATTTGTAATATCAGTTTTTTTTTTTTAAGTTCCTTCGATTCTTCAACTTTGAATAATAATTTAATTAGGAACACAAAAAGTTATGGAAGGCACTTTATTATTGTATGTGTATTGTGAGCGACAAACCGCAGGTCCAGGAAGAACTCGCGACTGAACTGGTTAATATGTTTTCAAATTTATAAAAATTAAAAGATAAAAGAATTAAGTAAACTTTATTTTTCTTTTTTAACAGAAAATTTTATAACTTTATTTAATTTTTTTTTAAAAAAGTAATTAAGTACATTCTCTTTTCCTTTTTAACAGAAACTTTGAAAAACATAAATTTTGTTCTAAACAAATTTTGTTATAAGAAAAGTTATTATAACGTATATTTTATATACATTTACTTTTTAAATTTTTGACTATTTTATTTTATAATAAATCATATCAATGTTATACGAAGATAGCCAATTTTTAATTAAATTAAATTATTTTTTAAATTGTTTCAAGTATTTAAGTACACTTTACACTTCTTTTTTTTATTTTTAATTCCTTATCGAAATAAGCCGTTTTATTTATGTAAGGACAAAATATTCAATTAATTTCTTTAAAAATGTAAATTAGTTAAATTTTACTTTTACCTTACTAAATTTTTTTTAAAACTTTAATAAAAAACGAAATTAGTTAATTTTTCTTAGAAAATAAAATATTTAGTAAAATAATTTATAAAATTATTTTAGGAAATTTTTAGCTTTATGTTAAAATATTTTTATTTTTAATTATAATTATAACAAATTAGCCAATTTTTTTAGTAGAATATAAATATTTTATAAAGATTTTATACTGTTTTTATTTTTAATTATTAATACTATTATTTTAAAGTTAAAGAATTAGATAAAGTTTGCTTAAATTTATCATAAGCTAGTGGAGCTACTAATAAATCTTAAATTAAAAGTTATAACTTATACACATCTATTAAGCAGAAGAGCAAAAAGCTTAAATGTAATAAAATTTTTTAATAATTTATTAAGAGTAGTAAAATTTTTGTTGTAAGCAAACTTTTAATCTCAATTTTATTTAATCAGTAAAAAAAAAATTTAATTTTTAAACTTAATAATTCAGTTTCGATTTGAGTCGGTTATAATATTTATATATTTTTTATTATGCTTTTGAAATTTTATTTAAATTTGTAAAATTGCTTTTAAAGTATAAATTTTATTTAATTTTTCGTAAATTTATAATTTATTTTATTTTTTTATATTTAAATTCTTTTTTTATTTCAATTGTTTTATAGTTAATTACTATATATAATATTTATTAACAAATCTTTTTAAAATCTTTTATATATTATTCTTTTATATTTATATTTAGTACATTTAATAACTTATACCATCTACTTTTCTATTTGTGTTATAATATAATTTTTTCTTATAGATTATTTAATATTTTTTAATTATTAATTATTTTTAAAACTTTTATAATAAAGTTAGTAATATTATATTCAGTTAATTATACTATTTATTATTTTAAAATCTTATTAAAATTAAT